GCAAAATGAAGTCCTCCTACACAAATGATTTAATTAAATCCCTTAATATGGTAAAAATATGCCTGAAATAGGAAAAGAAAACCAAGGTTTGTCATTTGCCCTACTTTGAGTTGAAATTGTATATCTGAATGCATTTGCTTTTTGAGATAAGCCTATTCTTTCCATTAATTCAACGGTTGCTGGATAACATATGACTTGTCGCTCTTATTTTCCAAATGCAGATTGGCCAGGGGAGGTGGTATGAATTTGATGACGGAGTGTTCACTCTGTCACTAAAGACAGCATCAAGACGTCTGCTGCCTATGTCCTTTTCTATAGAAGAGTTCCAGATGTGTAAATTAGACATAGCAGTGGCAAACTCATTGCAATCCCACCTTTTTTTTTTCCCTCCTTAACAAAATTAACTCTCATTTCAACTCAACCAATTTTTTTTTTTCCCTATAAATTAGAAGGGAATAAAATTTGACAACGATGATATTGAGATATCTATAGTTGGTTTTCCTTGAATTTTATAATTGGAATATAATATTACACTTTTTTTTGGGTAGATGAGTATAATATTACATATAATTAAAGAAACAATGTATATTAGTATTACCTCTTAAAATTTTAGAAGGTTAAAAACTAAAACTTTTTATTTTTACTTTTTCTTTTTTGCTTCAATTTGGTAATAAAGACACCATTTAATTCAATATAATTATGCTTTTGTTTTTTCTAATCTTCGGGGAAGGTGATTTGAGATTTAATACTCAAAGTATTTATAAAGTTTCAACCAAACAAAAACAAATAATTATTAAAAAAAAAATTATATATCAATGTAATTTTCTAAGTTTGATTTAGTTTTTGTCTTTGTAACAGAAAAAATCTATACAATGATTAAGTTAAATGTATGTATCTTTAAAATTATCACAAAGATTATATGTTAAGTTGAAGGTGCATGGGCTACAATGAAATGTTTCCTATCCATTTTTTATGTACTTTTTTATATAAGATTATTGCAAAGAGTGATTCTTTCTTTGTTTCTTTCTTATTTGTGTATGTATATGTATGCATTTATATTGTGTGACACAAACGTTGGTGGATGGAGGTATGTATGCATTTCCTTTACCTTCATTAGCTTTGTCTATCCATGAGTAAAAAGTTAATCAATTGATAAACACATTAATAAAATCAAGACACTGAATTTCTTAAGATAGAAAACCCATTAGGAAAAAACCATGGAACCTCAAAAACTTTCACTATTGAAATAGTAACAATAGTAAAATTACAAGGTTTCTTCTCTCTCTAGACAAGACTAGAGTTTCTTAACAACAATAAATCACAACATCACAATCATCACACCAAGATAAAGTTGGATAGCAAATCTTAAAAAATGCAGCTTGAAATGGATAGATTACAAGCTTGTTGAATTGAGCGAAGGTCATATCTGCTTTCAATCAGCACCCAATTGTTTCAAAACTCACTTGCCAGGCAAGAAAGAAGGTACAATTGAGTATGTCCTTCTCAATCAGCACCTCATTGTTTCAAAAATCTCCCAATTCTTCGTAATGGAAAATGTGAGGTCCTGCATAATTAAAATTCATATTTAAAATTCAGATTCATTGCTTTTGTTTTTGAATTTGAATTTGATTGGAACTAAAACTAAATTAAGAATCATAATGGTAAGCCCTTCACTTGCAACTACAAGGAGGGAGTAGAGGATTTAAAAAAGATAACAAAAATTAAATGGTATTCATGTTCCTTTCATAAGCAAATTATCAAGTTTCAACCATTCAATCTCTTTCCAAAAACCAGAAAAGCATAAATCATTTTTGAGGCAATTGAATGTAACATAAACCAAAATTAAAACCAAGAATATATATACTATACCTGAAGAGTAGATTGTAGGATTCATGAACTTTAAGTAAGAATTGGTTCTTAGTACTAACTAGCTAGCCATACATAACCTGCACAGAATGGACACATATCATTTATCATATGAGAAAAAGCAACAGAAGAGCAAAAAAACCTATAGTCGCAACTCAACCTGCTATGCTATATATGTAGTAATCAATTTAAATTTTCTAGACTCTCATATCAAAAGCATAAAGATGAAGCCAGTTTCAATCTTTCTTTCAAACAAGGTTCTACCTGATGTAGATCTATCATAATGCGGGGAATGCTACGGGTGAGATGCAAATAATCTCCTCTTGCCTCAAAGTGTTGCCGTTTTAGATGCTGGCAGTTTCTGATGCTGAGATACCCAAGCAAGGGAGGCAAGTCTTCCCTTGGCAAGGTCCGGAGCTTCGGACAGTTGGATATATGCAGCTCTTGAAGAGAGTTAAGGCTGTGAAGGATCTCTTTGGATATGGATTTCAGATTTTCTACATCAATGATCTCAAGAGAAGTTAAAGAAGATGGCAACACAATGTCAGGAGGCCACGTCCGACTAATTGCTAACTCCTGAAGAAAGCTAAGGTTGCGGAGGTCCAATCCCACCAACAAACACCCATCTAAAATGGATAGTCTCTGGAGCGATCTCAAATCAACCATATTATTTGGTAGCAACATGAGATTCTCACAATATAATACAAGACTTGTTAAGTTTGTGGGCAAAGCACCATTTGTAATGCACTTGATGCCGGGGCAATGACTTATGCATAAGCTCTGAAGTGATTGCAATTGGTATATGGTATCTGACAGGGTCTTAAGACTATTACACTCAATTATTTGTAGAAGCTTTAGATTGGGGATGGATGAGCCTAGCTCTGGGAGGGACTCTAAAACTTTACAGTTCATGATTTGTAAATGAACAAGGTTGCTGTTGCCGTTAAAGATGGGTAAGCTTTTCAATTTGTCACAATGAATTATATCCATGACTTCAAGTCTGGTGCAATGTTGCAACATCCTCTCTGGAAAAGACTCTAACCCCTTACAATTGTCAACATAAAAAGACTCGAGAGAATCTGGCAATTGACCACCCTGAAAAGAATTTAAAGATGAAAGTGCATATAGACTCAAATCTTTAAGATTGTTGTTGTTAACATCCAATAAAGATTCAAGATTTTCACAGTTTGATATCTGCAATGATATAATTGTGGTGGGTAATCTGCCTTCAGGAAAAGACTTGAGAGAAGAACAATGATTGAAGGTTAAATTTTTGGGTGTAAATAAGATGTTGTTACCATCTCCATCCATTTTCATCATCAGCACATTGGGCAATGACTCCAATTCCCCACAATTTTTAAGGTAAAGATTTTTAAGGTTGAAAGGCAGGAGGCCTTGTTCTTTCCCTGCCAAACACACAAGCAGAGGACAGTCATAAATTTCCATTCTCTCAAGACGAGCAAGATTTGCTATTTCTGTTCCTTCCTCCCACAAACAAGTAAGTTCTTCACAACTACCAACATGTAGAAACTTGAGCATTGTCAGGGACTCCACAAAACTCTTAGGCATGCAATTTAGCGCTGAAATTCTCCAAATTCTCAAGCTAGTGATAGAGGCGAGATCAACCATGCTCTTCAAAAGAGTAGCATTACAGTTTTCAATATCCAGATCTCGAAGCAACGGAAGACTCA